TTCTGTATTGGTGATACAGAATTTTACTTTCTTTTGCTCTCGGTAAAGAAAGAAAGATTGAAGGGATTAGTTCTTGATGGGCTGACAAGGTCTTCTGACACGTATGTAAGTCAGTGCGACAAGTCGCATCTGGGCGTACATGATGTAGCTGGGTGATGCCGAGCTTGCAATTTTTAATTAGATATTATTAGAGATCGAAACTATGTTTTTAGTCTAATAGTAATATAATTTGTATTTGAGCACCAACAAGACTGTCAAAGAAAAAAAAAAAATAATAATAATAATTTTTTTAAAAAAATATTTATAAAGAATATAGTAATTTAGTAAAGTAGTAGAGTTGTTACATTTTCAAATATGTAGCAGATCTAAAGTTTGAATTTTATAAATAATAATTTTAAAAATCCCAACACTCAAAATCTTAGCAACAAAATCCCGATATACAAAATTTCAACAAATTAAAATTCTAAAAATATTAAAATTAGAATTTTAATTTGTCAGGACTTTGTGTATTGGGATTTTGTTTTAGGATTTTGTGTGTTGAGATTTTATGTGTTGGGATTTTAATATACAACCAAATTTAAAAACTTAAAAAAATTTTTTATATATTTTAATAACCAGGTAGGTTTTAAAAAAAATTTTTATACAAATTTTATAAAATTTTATATAAAAAGTTTAAAAAAAAAGCCAGCTAGCCAGGTCTATTTAAAAATTTCATGTTATAAAAACCAAGTAATTAAATTTGTATAGCCTAATTAAGAAAATTTTTCTCAGTTTAAATCACTACTCTAAATAATAAACACTAGTTTATTAGTTTTAATCAGTTTTTGGTTTGTCTTTTCTATTATAATCTGTTGATTTGTTAAAAATTTTGGTTGTAAAAAGTTGGTACAGTAAGACCTTCCTAAGTGTACCCTCTTGGAACTATAATAAAAAAAAAACTAAAATATGCATTTAAAGAGAGTTTGTATTTATAGAGAACATAGGGCATGTACTTATAGAGTGTGCACTTAAAGAGGTCTTACTACAGTATACAAATAATTATTAAAAAAAGTTAAATTGATATTTTTTATTTTTAAATTTATTAAATATAAAATTATATATATTATTATAAGTTTTACTACAAATAACCGGTGGTGATTGTCACCGCCTATAGATATTTTTAGGGTTAGGGTGCAGTTTTGGAATTTATTTTTTTTTATATATAATATAAAAGCATCTTGGTAATGGTCACCACTAGCATAGTTAGTAATACAGTCTGACCTTGTTATAATTACCAGGTTGGAAAACAAAATTTTGGTAATTATAAAAAGTTGTAACTAAATAAAGGTCAAATTTTATATGTTTTATAATAGACCAAAATAGTGTGATTATAACAAGGTTGTAACTATATTAAGAGTAACTATAATAAGGTCAAACTGTATTCTATAGTTTTAAAATTAGTACAATTTTTTTTACAATATTTATTAGCACAAGATTTATAAAATTTTAAAAATTATTTTAAAATGATTTTATTATACTATTTTTAATATATTTAAGCCCAAAATTTGAAAATAAGTTATTATGTAAATTAAAAAAAATCTTTAGCTTAAAGTTTATAGTATTTATGTTTTTATTATAATTTTTATTATAAACTAACACTCACATATAAACGTAGGTAACATATTACCTGATTTTTAACGGATCCTGTTTCCTAGTATATAGAACCAATGTAACATTTAATAGGTATGTGTGACGTAGTCACCTAAGAATATAGTATAGCTTCTTTAAATTAGAGCCACAGATTAGCTCTATTTGAGGTTGTTCAGCCCACAAATGGCTCAGCTCTAGCCTGTAGAGCCAAATAATCGGTTCAGCTTGACTAATGTAAGCCGTGAACCGAGCCGGGTCAGCCGTTTCATCTCTGCTATTAAGTAAAAATCACACTTTTTGTTCCACGAATCAATGTGGAAAAATATAACAAATCACATTTCCCTCAACTTTGCCGCAAGTTTCCCATATTCGGTAATAAATTCGGATTTACGAACAATATCCCAAATTCTCATTGAGCTTCGGAACCTGAAATCAAGAAATACGAATTTTTAAATTGATGTAGCCATACCAATAATAAATTATAAAAAAGAATTCAATATTAATATACCATTCTTTTTCAGACACCTGGCCTTTTTTACCGGCTTTTTTTGGTAGTTGAAATATTTGATTTCTCAAAGATTCTGCCAAGACGATAAATGTATCGGGTGCGTTTAAATAAGTAAATCCGATATACTCCCCTTTAGGGCGAAGGGGCTGATTTTCATATGGCAAAAGAAAAACGTTTGGTAATCGTTTATCATTTGGACACTTGTACATTATCAATGACTTTGTCATGGAAACAGTTCCTAATTAAAATGAATATATCAGCAAAAAAATTTAAACATTAAACCGTAAAAGTATCAAATTACCAAAAATTTTCAAATTCGAATCTTGAAACATATTGTTCAACAAATCGCAGATGGACGTATGTTTAGTTGATGTAAAATCGGCGGGCGAAGTTTTATTACATACCAACACTGTGTACATAAAGTATCGTCAAAAAACAATGTAAGTAAAATAATAAATAGTAATAATCGAGGAAAAAATAATTACCGATATCAGGGTAATATTCGACACCGGGGTCCACAGATGCTAATGATGCTATAGTTGGAAATTCTGGAATATGATATTTCAGCATTTCGGCTTTTTTTAAAAAATTCCACATTGTATAATCTATACTCTCAGTGACAGTAATAACAACGTTGCAAACCGAAAAAAGAAAGATAACGATTTGAAGTGACTATCCGAAAAAGCCTTATATATAAGTACGAAATTCTGAATCGAAATTTTATGTAATAATTCAAATAATTAAAAAACACTAACCTGTAGCTCGAGCCATAATTCTGGTGATATATTATCAGGAATGTAATCATTCCTCATCGCATGTTCGAGAACCGATAAGCTAAAAACGGGCTGGAAATAAAGAAGCTTTAGAGTAATTTGCATTATCGAGAATATAAAATTACTACCAAAATTATACCTGAGTATCCAAAAGTATGATCCTTTCAGGTGTGATGTGAATATCAATACCTGTAGTTTCATGGCTGGCTAAATTTAGCGTTTCGATTGATTGTGCAGGGAAAGCCTAATATAGAAAGTAAAATAGTTATTCTCTTTTCATCGATCAATAATTTTAAAATTCAAGGAATCAAAAAGTGCTTGGTCATACATTTTGCGGATCTTGACATAATGCAGATATAACAGTAGATTTTCCAACTCCTTGGGGTCCACATACTCCAACAACGAAATGACCCGGAAGATCACTTAAAATCTTTTGACACGTATCAAATAAATAATCCTTTGTTAGAACTATCTACTTCATAATCCAACATTTCTTCACATGCTAACCTTTAAGACAGAATCATGGTTAAGTACACCCTTCTCATTGATCATTTTTACAAAGGGCTTGTCGAAGGGCTTTCCTTTAAAGGTTATTTGCTTAGTCTCTACGCGTGGTGCGTTGGCTGAAGATGCGCGATTAAAAGAATCGTCGCGAAATATGCGAACAGATGGATGAAATATTGTTTGTGGAGAGCTCTCTTCCTCGCCCTTATCCGAAGCCTGTAAAGTTGAAACTCCGGAAGTTTGTGGCCTACGTTCAAGAATGACAGGCGTCTGATAGAAAGATTTCGAAAGGTGGTCCGGAGTTGGTGTCGTCAATGACCCTGAAGAAGAATCCTGAAAGTCAATCACAAATGTAAAAACTAAATGTTGAAATTTTTGTAAAAAAAATAAATAATTAAAAGAAAGGTATTCGTTTACATGCCTTCAATTTTCTTTCGCGCCTTCGACCATTACTTCCTTCTCCACGTGAGCGTTGTTCTCTTCCACCTCCTTCTCTTCTTATGTTTTTAATGTGTCCATTACTGTTCCCTTCACGAATTCCTCTGCCATTTCTTCCTTCCTCGTTACGGTCTTCAGATTCCCGATTACCGTTGCTTCCTTTCGCCATGAAGTTTTTTAATATTGAACTTTAACTTGCGATAAATAATCGTGATATTCTGCTGTTATATGTCGAACATGACTATTATATTCAACATCGATAGTGATAGATATCCGATATTATTGGCGCAGTAAGGGTTGTAATAATTAACCCTAGTTGCTGCACTGCAGATTCTCGAATTTGATTGGCTAAGTGCGACGATCAAAAAATTACTCACAGCCGCTGTAATTTTGCGATTTATGTAGATCGGACCCTAAAATTGGTTTAATTCTGGTCAAATTTGCAAATCATTTGGCAAATTTGACCCGAATTAAACCTATTTTTTGGGGACCGATCTGACAATTTTAAGCCACAATGGCTGATTATGGCTTATATGTAGCTTGTATGTGGCTTGTGAATTTGCATAGAAAATTGACCAATAAAATCCATGCTGATCTCTGGAAAAACTATAATTTTAACTATGAAAGTCTTTAGCTGCTTACCACCTGCCCCAAATTGGAATTCTTCAAAGGCTGCAGCAATCTCTATAGAAGAAAACCTATTCGCTTATGCTTCTTCAAACGATGTTATATTATTAAACGCTGAAACACTTCAGTATGTGGGTAGATTTCGTGGGCACACAGACAAGGTGAACGCAGTAGACTTTTGTGACAATCTTTGTGCTAGTGGAGGTGCTGATACCACAATAAGATGTTGGGACGCGTTGACTCAGAAACAAATGGCTATTTTGAAGCATCATAAGGTATAAGCTTTACTACTAGATTATTCATAATTTTTATTTTAATGTGGTTTTGACACGGCTTTCCTTAATATATTTTTCGGTTATAATACTAGAGTGAAATCTATGCTTTGGCGTGGGTGAAAGACAAAAAATTTATAGTATCAGGTAAAAATATTTACTGTAATTCTCGAAATAGCGGGCATGGGCGTTATTGGCCCGAATTAAGCTCAATTCGGGCCAAAATTCGAAACAACGCCCATGCCCGCTATTTCGAGAATTTACGGTGTACATTCTATAGTGTTTTTAGATTATGAAATGTTTTTGACGCGTTTAACGGAGTATTTTAATCATAGGAGATAAATCTGGTGATATTTCTATATGGAATCCGTCAAAAAACAAGTCCAACAAACTTTATTTTATTCAATCTCCAATATACAATATTGCACCATCACCTACGATTGAAAGTTCATTGGCAATCGGGTAAGTATTTATTCATTTTTCTTTTCAAACAATGAACAATTTATTAATAAGTTTTTTTTCAGTTTTCAAAATGGAGCTATAATTGTCGTTAAAATTGACTCGGATTTGAATGGAAGGATAGCGCGTCGACTAAATGGTCACGATTTTGAAATTCAAAGCCTATCATGGGAATTACCAAATGGTATTTGTCATCTAATTTACTTAAAGTTATTACGTATACATCACACGCGATTCACATTATATTATAGGGGATTGTCACACTGCAAGATATACTTTACTTGCGTCCGGATCTCGGGATAAAACCATACACATTTGGAACGTCGAAGAAGAAAGCTCAATAAAAACAATTAATTTACCCCACCCAATGCACCATCTTACCGACCAACAAAAATCCCGAGTGTGGGTTGCTGTAGCATGGATTCCGGATCGTAATAGTGTGATTACAAGCTCATACATGTTTGTATAGTGTTTGCAGGAATTATTTTGTATTGAGGAGTTCATAGACAACATTTTCTTACCTAGCGTTATCATTTCATTTGTTTTCACTATAACTAAACACGCCTAAAGGGGTGACTTACTCATATGGGATTTAAATGTTTCAACTACGAAATATCAAAAATTAAGTGGCCATTCTCGAAGCGTTTTTTCAATTGTGATGTATGCATGTGGTACGAAAGCTATAACAGTGTCGATGGACCGAAAGGTAACTTTACTCCTCAGTTCATATATTATTTTCTTTGGTTGATTGATAATTCATTCATTATTCAATTCTAGATTATTCTCTGGGATCTCATCCAAAAAAAGCAAATTTTTACCGTTTCTTGTATTCACAATTACGTTAATGACATTGACGTTTCTGTAGTGGATCCACATAGGCTTGCCATTGCAAGTGGTGATAATAACATCCGTGTATGGGATATCGCGAATAAGCATGATCCATTTGGCTGCACATTATATTGGAAAGGCCTAAAAAATAAACTTACATGCGTAAGCATTTAACCAGCCTTTCAATATTAGTACTAAATCTTAATGTTATCATAATTGTTGCGTTAAAAATTATATAGATAAAATGCCACCCAAATCGTGAAGGGTTCCTTGCATTTGGAACCGATCTGGGTAATATTGGCTGGTATGAAATATATAACGACAAATCCAAAACTTTCAATTCTTATCATAAGAGCAAGGTCTATTCTATCCATTGGTGTAAACCCGAATGGCTAGGTCTAGGTTCAGCAAATGAGAATTCAGACCATAGCTTAATTATCAGTTGTGGCGGGGATGGCCAAATACTTCTAAATGATACTACGAAACCAAAGCAATCTATGATCGTAAATGACATGATAAAAGATGCAAATCCTGAATGGACTGCGATTATGAAGGTAAACTCTAATGGCATGTTAAACATCCGACTAGTAATTGACAATGTTAAATAAACTTTTTGTGACTTAGGATAAGTCTGGTTATCTACCAAAACGTACCGAAATAGCGGTTCACCCAGCGGGTAGATTTCTTGCTGTTGGTAATTTCGATGGTAGCATCGAGGTTTATGATCTACCGTCATTTAAAATCGTTTACCATAATATCGGCCATCGATCCATAATCAATAAACTTGAATGGCGTCATTTAGGTATGCTAAGGCGATGGTTCCTTTTTAAGTTCAAATACTTGATATTCAACAAATCTTCAATTTCAGATGACGTAGGAAATTCATTTTCCCTTGCGTCTGGAGCAGATGATAATTTAATTATGATTCACGATTTTTCCGATTTAAATAAATTGATTTCCACAAGTAATTAAAAATTCTGTTTTATTTTAAATCATTATGGTTGTTTTCTTTATTAAATTTATTTTTATAATGTTTTCTTTATTAAATTTATTTTTATAATGTTTTCTTTATTAAATTTATTTTTATAAATAACCCTATGGTTTTAGCTACTGTACCAACTTCTTCATGCAAACATGTCCTTGAAATGCATAAAAAAGGAGTAACTGACTTATCATGGAGCCCTTCTGACGTCAACAAATTGGTCTCTTCATCGTTTGATGGCACTGCTATTGTATCTATCAAACAATATATATTATATATGTATTTATTTATTCCAGCTCATTTTTTTGCTAAGCATGGCTTGAATTATATTTGTTAGGTGTGGGATATACAACATGGTATTCCAATTTCTATATTTCGTGGCCATCATGGTCGGTTATTATGTACAGTTTGGAGCCTAGAAGATGAAGATGCAGTTTTTACAGGTGGAGACGATGCTGTATGCTTTTGCTGGAAAATATCTGAAAATTTGTATGAACACCCGAAAGGTATCAGTTGGTTTTGGCTTTTATTTACAGAAAAAGAAAGGGTTCATAATTATTTTCATAATAATTGGAAAAACAGATTTCAGTTCAGAAATTAAAAATGACATCGTCCTGTCTGATGCTGTTACAAAAGATAATATGTCGCAGCCATTAGATGAAACTATTTTAACGACACTCGATAGGATAGAACATACGACAACGGCAACACATGCAACGAAAGATACACCAGAGCCAATTCAGAAGGCTGAAGTTCGCGCATCCAAAAAAAAAAAGTTTAAGAACCTTTTACCTTTGGGAACATCTCCTTCTCGAAGAAAAAATCTTCAATATAGCACTTTCGATATTGCAAGAAAGCTATATGGTGGCGATATAGCAAAAGCAATGGAATTTTGGGTAGATAATGAGCATAAAGGTCAAAAGCTAACCGATGAAACAGACAATATCGATATCCAAGCTCCACCATTTGTAGAACTGTTTTTTGGTGAAGGAAATAAATCAAGAAGGATAATTGAACAAGAAAGTAATTAATTATATTTCTAATATAATTATTAATACATATATGTTTTTAGATGTAAATTCTAAATTATTAATTTTTATCAAAACTTTCGTTATATGTACAGTAAAGTCACATAATAATTCAGGAATTTCTATGGGTCTAGGAGGCTTAGAAGTCGGCCCTGCTTTGCCTTTGCAAATTTGGTCTAATAATTTTGCTGAGCTGATTAAAAGTTGTGAAGATAATGAGTTTTCCAATAAAGATTGGATACTTCTTGCCCTTAGTCCATTGGGTATTTTGTCTCTCTAAATTAATTGATAATGTTATTTGTTAGAGAATTTGGAATTCTGATTCTTTATCTATGAAAATAATAGCTGGCCGAGATGTATGGCAGTCCTTGGTACGCCTTCAAGCTGAGAAACTTGTAGCCAAAAACGACCGCCATGGTGCGGTTTTATGTTGGTTGGCATGTGGAGAAGTCTATGAGGCTGTTGAAGTTTATCGCAAAGCTGAAATGTATCGGTAGGTAAAATTAATTAAATTTCCATAAATGAAAACAATGAAATTTTCAAATCTTATAAATGTAATATAATTTTAGCGAAGCGATCGCTTTAGCAAAACTTCGTTTGATCGATGAGGATCCAATTTTTTCGGATCTATATAGCTTATGGGCTATTCAATTAGAAAAAGAAGAGGCATACGAACAGGCTGCTATGTGGTAGTTACCTTAATGGATTATGTATTATGATATTGTGTTTATGTTTTAATGTACCCTATTTATTGCTAGTCATTTAGCTGCAAAAAAGGAAAATTCAATTCACCATGCATTAAACGCTTTATCACGTCGTGGTGATCCCTCAGCATTACGTACCGCAGCAAGTTTAGCATTGATGCTTGGGGATTCGTCTGCGAAAGAAAGAATATCGAGATATTCTGAAGATCAGGAAATAAGAAGCTCCAAAAAAAGTAACCAAATAGAATCAGATAATATGAAACAGTTTGAAGAGTAGAACATCGTATATGGATTAAATGAAAAAAACGTCTTAATAATGTTTAGAATTAGTTAATTTTCGATTAGGAACCAAAAAATTAATAACAAAGCTATAATAAAAAAATTTCTTTTAATTTACGCTAACACGGATAAAAAACATAGCTTAGTGCAGTTTTGTTGCAAACTGATCACTGGAACTGGAAGAATTATTGATTCTAATGATTAGTTGTCATTGGACTCTTCCAATCTTTTTTTTCTTCCTACCACCGGATGGAAGATCCAGTGAAGATATAAGACTTTTCTTATAGATCGTATACAATAACATACGAAATATATGGCGCAGCACATTATACCAAACAATCGCGTGACTTGTTTCAATTTTTTTTAAGCGGCTTTTATACAAGAGGTTTTCAAAATTGATCAGTAATTTTATAGAGCACTATAAGTTTAATTGGTGATCCACGAGTCAACCAGAGAGTGATCATAGCGAAACGTGACGTGGATCACTTATAGAAATTGGGGCTTTGCGAATGTGGCGTGCGCGAATCTAAAACTTTTTTTATACTAAGTTAACCACTCTTCTAATTTAAGAGACTTTTGTAGAGCTTGTTGAGACGTATCTAATGGTGGTTAAATAATCTAAATCGGCCTGGTGGATGCCAA